TGAAAATGCTCTCTGCACCTGCTTTGTAATTTTCATTGTTTGTTGCATTCACAGAACAATACAGGTGCCTTCTGGTTGTCGCAATAAAATCTTTAAATTCCTATGGATGTTAATCAGTCATTTTAAGCCTAGTGAATCGAGTGTTATTTACCTTATATTCCAAATGTATTGAGTTGAATATCAATGTTCGATCTACTCAGCACACAGATACGTGAGGGATTGATAGTGGGATATGAATCTTTTCATCTCTTGGTTACTGATTCAAATCTAAATGAGCTACACACCCTCCTCACAAGGAGTGTCTATTCGGGACAAAATTAATTCAATTCCCCGAGGCAAGACAGTATGGGACGCTTTCTTTTCCTATTCTGTGAATAAATAGAGGGCATCAGTCCTGACAGTTGGCATTACAGCACCTTTCACAAGCACTGAATTTTCAAATTACAAAAATATATAATAACCGCTGCCCCTCCTGCCCCGCCCCCCCACACATGCATTCCACTTTAAAAAAAACAAACAAAAAAACCCCACCTCACTATATTACACATGGATGATAATCTTTCTCCTGGTATTTTCCCACATTTTAGAATCTAAAATTGAGATAATTCGGCTCATTTTTATTTCTCTTTGATAAAACCTCTACTGATGTGTCCAAACATCACAGCTTGGTGAATGTATATTATATGGAAAATCAAACATTCACTTGGTTCTAGTACTCTATTGTTTATTTTCCTGGTTTCCTAGGAATGGCAGAAGACACAAATTACCATGAAGAGGATCGTAAGACTTATTTTTGCTCTGAGATAACTCAGTACCCAATTCAGCAGCCCGGCCCTATTCAGCAAAGTTCTTAAGCATATGCTTAACTTTACTTCAGTGGAATTAAGTACATTCTTAAGTGTTTTGCTGAATAGGGATGAAGTTAACTATATGCTTAAATGCTTTGATGAATTAAGATTTTTGATCTAAGGAGGAAGGCCATCAGAAAAAAGTGAAACCTCTTTTTCTACATCATGCTGCTTGTCACCTCTACTGAGACAGTTAATGATAACAGATCTAAACAGAGCCACCGCCACCACCACATAGGAACCAAATGAGTGCCTGAATGTGAATTAACATTACAGCATAGCTCTGTTCTTTAGTGCAGTGGTTCTCAACCAGCTGTTCCAGGCCCACTGGGGGGCCCTGAGCAGGTTTCAGGGGGTCTACCAAGCAGGGCTGGCATTAGACTTGCTGTGGCCCAGAGCAAAAAGCCAAAGCCCCTCTGCATGGGGCAAATGCCTGGGGTTCCAAGCCGCCACCCAGGGCTGAAGCCAAAGCCTGAGCAACTTTGTTTCACAGTAGCAACTGCCCTGCTTGCTACCTCCTAATGCCCTGCCTTTTATATGCAGAAAAATGTTGTGGCACAGGTGGGCCGTGGAGTTTTTATAGCATGTTGGGGGGGCCTCAGAAAGAAAAAGGTTGAGAACCCCAGCTTTAGTGTGTGTGTTTTCAAGCTACCTTGTTAATTCTATTTAAATTACAATCAGAAAGACAGTTTCTAAGTAACATAACTTATTAATTTACCTTTTTGTCTATTTCCATAATGGGAGGAGAATAAGGACCTGCGATGTCACTCCAACACTTTCTGAAAAACATATTTTTAAAATGTCTAATTAAAAAACCTAGGTGTTTCAGTAAAAGTCAAGTATTTAATCACATTCAATTACTGCAGAACTTGAAGGAACATATGTAATGTTTGATGCTGATCTCTAGATTTGATTAAAAGACCGTTTCTGTTAATCACTTGACAAGGCCTGTTGTGACAAAGCCTACAGATTAACCCTAATTGTGAGCTCAACTGTAAAAAGTGAGTGAAAGTTTATAAATGTCACAATAACCTATAACAATAGCTGTTAATGGGAAAAGGTACAAAAGGAGAAAGAAATCTGAATTAGTGTAAAACAAAAAGGCTTACTGATATAACTCAAGAATTATGTCAAGATCCTGCCGGGTAAACAAGAGAAGTGTGGGAATGAAAAACCAATGAACCAAAATCGGTGTATCAAACGTTGGCCTAATTGATGGATAAAATAATGAGAGGACAGGCTACTCTGCCCATCACTCCCTTTTAGATTCCTCAGAAAGAGACTTAGGGAGGTAAGAAAAATAGCAGCAGGACTACTGAAATGCTGGCTCACTGAAAGGTGAGAGAAGGGGAAGGCGCGAGCTCTTCCATGATGGCTGCAACCCCCACTGTTTCATGGTCCCCTATACCTTTTTCATCCTAATCTTGAGAGATGTCCCTGACCAGACCAGGTGAAGAAAGGGAGCCAAATGGTATTGCTACTTCCACTGGCTTTGACTAAATCCCAAATACCACCTGGGATGTCATACTTTGTCACTCACTTTTCCTTCCCCACCTTATTTCTTGTCTTTCCAGTCCTTCTCCTTTTTCCTTTTGTCTAATAAGAGTCTAGCTAAGCTGGACACATTTGTATATTTTGCAACACTGCTGTACATTTGTGATCAGAAAGAGGCAGCTAAAAACAATTCCCTAAACAGCCCATTACAAGTTTGCCAGGTCTTGGACTGGCTGATAAGACTGTGTGCTGTATCTGTGTTTGTTCCAGCAGCGAGGTCACAAGTGAGAGTCAACACCAGAGAAAGAAGCTGCTTTCTTCTATCTTTGCTGTTCTTCTCTTTCCCTTTTGTGTATTTGTCCTGTTTTGTCTTTGTCTTAACAACATCAGCTCCAGTCCATCTCAACTAACTTCTCTTTTCCCCAAAGGGCCAATTATTACCATTTTAATGCCAGCTAAGAGATTGTCCTGCCAGGGAGGTTTTCTTTCTTACCAGGGAAAGGTAACAAGGGATATTGTTAAAATGAAAGACTTAATACTTTATATTTCAAATGCTTTAACTATTTTTCTTTTTTTTTCTGTATCTTTTTAATAAAAGGTT